ATGAACCCTTTCTGAAGACCCCGTCCACCCTTCCTCTTATTTTTGCCCTGGCGCACCCCTACCCCCCCTGTCCTACCCTAGTGTTAACCACCCGGGACCTTCACCCATTGCCATCTTGGCGGGGCGACGTGACCAGACAGCGGTTGCAGGTACCGGGGCTAAGCAGAGTCTCTCATCCCCTGCTCAGYCCCGGTTGAAGCAGACGCCGTGCAAGCCTGATTGCACGGGGACTTCGGGAGCTAGGTATGAACATGCTACCACCGGTCTTCATGAGGGTGTACAGTGATTCCTATCTAGCTTAGTTGTGTAGTGATGATAGAGTAGTTGTGTAGTGATGATAGAGTAGTTGTGTAGTGATGATAGAGAGCTGGGAGTCCTCCGTTCCCTCTTATCACCCCTCCGCGAAATGCTTCGTGTGGTGACAGTCTACCTGTGTTGTCCCCTAGTGTTGGCCAGTTTTCACCGCACCTGGATTGATTCCAGTCGGAATACGTGGTGAAGAGAAAGCCGCCACCGTTCCATTAGCTCGCCATCCGCCGCAGTCCCGGGAGCAGGCCGGCATAGCAACCACAAAGCACGTGGCGGCGGCGATGTAATGGAACCAAGAGCTGTTTTCCGCCAGAAACATGCACTTTTCGGCCTCGCCAAGTCTCACCACTGTTTGTGGTGGATGGCGAGTAGTGGAATGAGGCCCTAATCTTCTCCGATGTTGATTTTGAACTCTCTGACTTCTTCCCATTTTAACGGATGTCCCGAAGGACCCATGCCGCGTTTTCCCCGATGTCAATTTTGAACTCTCTGACTGCTGTCCGTGAACTGTCCGCAAATTTGTACAGCGGACAGTAGTGGAGCGAGCCCCTACCTTCTTCCCCCGAGTACAACGTACGGTCATTATAGCTGTATTTAGTCTGAAAGACAGCCCAAATACAGCTATAATGACCGTACGTTGTATTGGGGGGAAGAAGGTAGGGTTAGCTCCGCCAAGTGCTGTTGGGTAACCCCACGAACCGAAACTGGGTCATGGTCCCAGCCTGTGACAGTGTTTGCTGCGGGTTGTTTCGGTTCCGCCGGCCTCATGTTCCCATGATAAGGGCCTCGGGGCTGGTTCGACACTCCTCGGGGCATCCTCGGGCCCCGAGGGAAAAATCTTGGAGTCGCCCGAGGAATTTCCCGCCTTCGATCCACTCATCCTCAGGGATGTCGGCCGAGGACATTTCCTTTGGGCGATGTCAGAAAAGAAAAAAACGACAGAAAAAAAAGTTGTGCTTTAGGACTTCAGCCAATAGGGTGCCGCCACGATCCAGATTCTCGGTCGTAACGTCTCTCTACCTATTTGCCCTCTCCTCTCCGTGAAACACGGATTCCTTTTGCCCAAGGATCCTTGTGAGGTCCCTTGGGCAAAAGGAAGAAATGGCTGGGGAATCCTTGGAGCCCAAGGAAATTCCCTCGGAGTGTTTTCACTTTTTTTTTTCCGACTGCACCCCCGAGGATACGTGGAACGAACAATTCCTCGGGGACTTTACGCGTCCGAGGAGTGTCGAACGAGCCCCCTCGTTCCACTACTCGCCATCCGCCACAAACAGTGGCGAGACTTGGCGAGGCCGAAAAGTGCATTTTTCTGGCGGAAAACGGCTCTTGGTTCCATTACATCGCCGCCGCTACGTGCCCTGTGGTTGCTGCCCCGGCCTGCTTCCCGGACTGTGGCGGATGGCGAGCTAATGGAACGGTGGCGGCCTTGCCTTCACCATGGGCCTCGCCACACCACACCCAACTTGGGAAAATTTTCGGGAGCGCTCCCGGAAGTGAAAACCCGCTCGGGAGTGCCTTTAGCCACACTACACTCTCGACCCGGCCGCGCTCAAATTCTGAAAATGTCATTTGCCACATATGGACACGATCAGTGTGAAGCAGTCTGGCAGAAGTCGTTTGTCCCTTCCGGCTCCGCTCCCGAATCTGGGATGAAACTCGGAGGAGCCAAGGAGGTCTCTCGAAAAAAAAGCTTCGCAGGCGGTGAGTCCGGGAGTGTTCTCGGCAGGCACATTCTGACAGCTCCCGAATTCAATCTGACAGCTTGAACTCAGGAGCTGGTGTGCAGCATGCAGCTTGAACTCAGGAGCTGGTGTGGCATGCTGCACTCCGGAAAATGGCCAAGTCGGGAGTAGTGTGGCGAGGCCCCATGTACTCGGACTGGAAATCACTCCAGGTGACACTAGGGGATAACGCAAGTCGACTGTCAGGACGGCTGTGTCAGGGGCCATGGCCACACGAAGCATTTCGCGGAGGGGTGAGGAGTAGCACCTCCACGAAGGGCCGTTGCAGGCAGGGGAAATGGAAAGCCTTGGCGACACATCGTCAAGTGATAGGGCGTCCATTTCTTGGCTATTGGCGATGCAGTGGAACGAAGTAACATCCGCCATGCGTGGCGGATGGCGAGTAGTGGAACGAGGCCCTAACGGACTCCTTGCTTTTTCCCAAAAAAAAAAAAAAAAAAACAGACAAAAAAAAGAAAACCCGCAAAAACGTGTTGATATGTCTTGTTTTTTTCTTTCTGTGAAAGGTATTGATACGTCACAGCACGTCGGGCGACCGGTATATAAGCTACGGTTGTTTTCCGAACCCTTATATGTGCAATTCGTCTGCGCCATGACGCGGGGAGAGAGAGAGAGAGAGAGAGAGAGAGAGCAGGGCTCCCTGCCTGTCTCCCCCGATCTCTTATTTTCCCCACCCTTGCAGGACAGGTTTCGGGGTCGATCAAGTCATCACGCACTGGAGAGAGAGAGAGAGAGAGAGAGAGAGAGAGAGAGAGAGAGAGAGACAGAGAGAGGGAGGGAGAGAGAGGGCTCCATGCCTGTCTCCCCCCATCTCTTGTTTTCCCCGCCCTTGTAGTACAGGCTTCGGGGCCGGTCAAGTCATCACTCATTGTTGCCATTTAGTGGGCGCTGGTGGGCACGTTTCGTCTACGTCTACCCGGCTTGATCTTTCGAGCGTTGCTGCTACTATGGCGAATGCGTACCTTGTCGGCGGCCGTCGGCACTCAGTCTGTGAAAGACAGGGAAGGGTGGAACTACAGGGGTAGGAGGCATGAGGGAGTCCTAAATGGCTGAACGGCTGCCACACTGCTTGTGCTGAGTGGGTGAGCGCATGCTCACACTACCGGTAGTGTGACTATTCTGGATGTGTCTGACGCTCTACGTACGGCGAGGTGCAGGATGTATTTGACCGCAATCATGAACAGGGAAGAGTGGCGCTACCGGACGAGAAGACACCAGGGATGTCCTCCAAGCCTTAGGGTGAAAGAAGTACCAAACTTGTCGTGTTGATTGCGTGTTCGCCGCGAATTTTCACGTCAGGACTCTACACATGTGGCTGTAGGAGGAGCAGACAGGCTATGATTCGCTGGTCCTGCGTGTATATGCCCGGAATCACGACCAGAGACCGGTGGAAAAGAAATCCTAGAGTGAGAACGCACTTCGTTGGCTGTAGGAGGAGCAGACAGGCTATGTATCGCTGCCAGCAGCAGGCATCATCGGCTTGTAATATCCTACCTTCCTCCCCCGAATACAACTCCCCCTCATTTTTTTTTTATTTTTTTTTGTAAATTCACCCTCATTTTGGTTGTACCTACCTGACCGGAAATATAGCTTCTATACATTCATTATCTGGGACCCGGTGCGTTAGTTGGGCAGAAGATGGTAGCTTGGGGATGTCTTCTCGCGAATTCACACTTCTGATCTTTGCAAGTACTCTTTCTTGATTTTGGTATTTTTTATTAATAAACTTTCTAAAGAACAGCTTCAGGTGCCGTGAGAGAATATAAATTTATTTCGATTGCATCGTTGTATTTATTACCTTTTTTGATGACGGTGGTGTATGGTAGTGAGCGAGGAGAATGAGAAACTCCACCCACTTTTCCCCTCCTTTTCTTGATTCATGATGACATTGTATTGTACCGCGCGTACTAAGTAAAATGGAGACATGTCCGCCCTGTCGCCTTCGAGAGGCCGTCGGTTAGGGTACGCTCATCTTCAACCGAATAGAACCCCCGATCATTATAGCTATATATTTGGGACAACTTTCAGTCCAGATGCAGGGATAATGACCGGTATTTCGGACAACTTTCCGTCTAGATGCAGCGATTACGATGCTCGATCGGAAAGTTTGGGCCTCTCGAAGTTTAGATCAGCGATTCCATTGCACATAGGATTTTTCCATGGAGATCACACGTCGAAGGATGTATATATATATAAATATAATATGTGCACATCGACGTGGATATGTGGGAACGTTGATTTTTATATATGTTTTCGTTCAATACGATTAATTATTCGACTTCGTTGTCAATACGATTATTAATTATTTAGTGACGGTTTATAATATTCATTTTGTGGCTGTTTTTCAAAGTGGCCGAAAAAAGAACGCAAAACACACCATCGACTTCTGAAGCCGACGCAGAAACAACTTGAAGGGGCTCAAGTCCCACTTATTTTTCTTTAAAAAAAAACAAAAAACAAAAAAACTCCCACTTATCCGAATTCTCAACTTCTGCCGGAAGATGATGACGATCAACGGTCAGAAATGAAGTATCCGGTCAGGGGGACGTAGCCCCAGAACTCGCTTTCTCGTGATCTGCGATTCTGCGTGCAGCTCTGGGAACGATAGTCACGCTGATGGAGGGAGGTGAGGGGGTGGGGGAGGAGGGGCCCGTTCCCGTTATCCTCCAACTGCTGATTGACACGTGGCTGGGAAGATCTCGTCTCCAGGTCT